GGCCACCAGTCTAGGTGACTCGATACTGCGTGCATTATATATTGCTATTAGATGGTGGTTGGAGGTAGTCGACAATGAGATGGTGGAGAAGATTTGTAGCTCAGGTGGATGTTTTTGGTGGAGTTTTGTTCTCTGAACTAGATGGCTTGGTTATGGAGCTTTCATTGTTCTTCTAAACGACATCATCAGCACGAACTTCTATCTGAAGTTCGTGCTGATGATGTCGTTTAGAAGAACAATGAAAGCTCCATAACCAAGCCATCTAGTTCAGAGAACAAAACTCCACCCTTCGCATCTTTCTCTATCCGTTAGTGAAACAAAAAGTGATTATCATGGAATTCATAAACCATTTATGTTTTCAGGAATGTAAGGAGATTTCATGAATCCATTAGTGTTCATCAACATTTACAAATGTTTATAAATGACTGCTAAATACAGAATCTTACTAAAATCCGAGAATCATACAGTAAATGCTTCATTTGCAATGTGTCAATCAATCGTCTCATACTTCAATGTTTTTTCGTTTCTACACCAAACATCCTCTGTTCCCATTCTTTTTTCTTTGATCTTCTTAACCTTCTGCTGCCAGACATTTCACTTTCAATTACCGTTACATACTACTTATATCTGTCCATATGAGTAGTACGCCCACCACAAAACATGGAATTTGTTAGTTAAGCATATTTCATGAAGTTTCAAGATTGTTAAATAACACAAAAATGTTATAAATTCCCCTGTTATATCCTAATATAGCGCCTGGTAGATTCTAGAGACCATTAATGTTTTATTTATTGATTTATTTGGAAACATAAATATTGGTACAAGAAGACACCAAATACATATGCTCTACACAATAATAATGAGAATGGGAAGAGATAAAGAATGTAAGGTGTGTGTAAAAGAAAAAAATAGAACAATAACGACCACGAATTAGTGTATGGTAGTGAAATAATAATAATAATAATAATAATAATAATAATAATAATAATAATAATAATAATAATAATAATAATAATGGGGGAAATAGAAAGGCACAACCAGAAAGAATTCTTTCAGTTAAAGAAGTCACATTCACTTTTATGAAGAAAGTAAAAGAAGGTTACAGCAGGATCGCCAATGGCTTCTGTTATGAACCATGTCTGATAACGTCTCTAGCCACTGTGTTGCATCATCTCTAGAAAACACAATCAGGGAGTCGTGAAGGACCAACTGAAGCCAATCCTGTTCAGCTTTATTTCATAACACGACACCATGTCATACACTAATCACCTCTCCCATTTTTCCAACCAGTCCCAGCGTCGACAAATAATGCACGATGTGGAATTCTCTGCGATGACATTCGTAGAACATGTCCAATCCAATGAAGTCGATGTTTCAAGATAGTGTCACCAATTGGATTATCATCTCTGCACCCGAACACACGATGCTGAACCTCTGCATTACTAACATGATATTGTCACTGGATGTCAATAATCCTTGGGAGACAACGATGGTTAAACACAGTGAGTCGTCTAACATCTTCAACTGGGAGAGTTCAGGTCTCACTAACATAGAGTAAAACTGCTCTCACCGACGCGGGACTTTTATTTTAACCAATAATAACTTAAATATTAGCCAATAATAGTCGGATATAATATCGCAAATTATTACATTCAGCTCCTTGTTTACCCAATGACTAATCAAAACATAATAACTTAAAAACCTTACATAATAATATTTCATCAATTGCATCACAATACATCACAAATAGGGAATTACAATTTTTAATAATAATTATGCAATAAACAATTTCTTTAAATAATCAGTTCACTATGGAATAGTTTCTGATATTCTACTTATTTGCCTGTATCTAAAGGAACATCCGTTGAAATAATTCAAACGTTTCTGTTGACATATCTGATCATCGCTGATTGTTATGTTGAAATCAACATGAAAATAACACCATTGTTGTGACTTCATGTCCGGCTTTTTATCACGTGATTTATTCACCAATCAAAATACGACTTAAACAATCTTAGCACTGTGCCAAACCAATGACATTCGATCGGTATGAACAGTCTGGTGTCCTTATTGGTCCTATGTTCACCTAGTTCGTCCATTTGAGTCCAGAACACCGATACCACCTTCCATTAGGCGAATCATTTATTTCAGACATACTGGGTTTATATATCAAACAAACAGACCGCAACGCACCATAAAATAGGAAATAACATTTGTACACAATGAAGCCAAAAAGTGACTGTGAACGTGGGAGGCAGTAGTCAATAAACTGAAAATAACTTAAGAACAGTAAACCGTGCAATAATAAATTATAGGTCAAAATAAAGCTTATAATAAGAGGAATATAAATATACATAATCTAATTATTGAATAGTCATACCATAAGAATGTATAGATAGTATTAGTCAATTAATAGATCTCAGAAGTTACTCATGATTTAATCTTCACTCCGATATAAGAAACATAAAGACTGGTATAAGTGAAGATGAATTAACCCCATTCAGGGTCCCCCACGTGAGTTCGAATCCGATCTTCGTCGTCAGTTGTTATATCTAGAGATTAGATTCATAATATACCACGTATAACTTGAGCAACTCGAAAGCTATAACCCACTAAGTCTCAAATGAAAAAAACAGAAGACAAGTAAAAGGAACGTTATTCCAAACAATGTCAATTATGGTACAAAACTGTCAAGTAAATGAAAACATCATCATAGTCCTGCAATCTGCATACAGGGGGTTATTAGCATTTATCCAATAGGGAAGCTACACATAAGAATTCTGAAATATTCTTCAAAAATATGGTTGGATGGAATATCTTCTTCTCTTCCTGAGCTTCTTAGGGCTTCCTCGAGTTCACCCGTGGACCGTCCTCACATCTGTGGAAGGAAACACACAGTCAGGTAATTATAAGTAAGCAGTAATACTGTAGTGAACGTATAGTCAGATGAGATACACCAATTCATTGTATAATGATCAATATGTGGAGATTGCTGACTTATTAATCGAGAACATGGATTGATCGATGTTAGACCACCGTTGAAAACCTGAAAGCATAATCACACAGTGATTTAGTAAAATGTGAAAATCATATATCAAACACATCATTTACACAACCTTCAATTACAAGCGTTATTGTCCCTTCAGTCCTGTTTTTGCCTTGATTGTTTCCGGTTTCTTTCTCCCTTCTCTTTATTTCAATCTTCTCAACCTGCTACTCGTAGACATTTCACTTCCCTGACTGGTGTTAAATACTATTTTTAACTGTGACGACGGACCACGGGTGAACCCGAGGAAGCTGTAGGAGGCTTACAAGGAGCCAAAGATATTCCATCTAATCACCTTTTGGAAGAATATTCCAGGATTCCTACGTGTAGCTTCCCGATTGGACAGTGCTAATAACCCCCTGTATGCGGATTGGAGGTCTGTAATGATGATTTCTTTCTTACTAAAAACTATAAGTACCTGACAATTTTGTACTATAATTGGCACTGTTTGGGAATAATATTCTCTTCATTAGTCTTCTGTCTTCTCATTGCGACTTGGAAGGGTCCTGGCGTTTTAGTGCTCACGTTATACGCGGTATGTCAAGAACAACCTTCTAGATATAACATTAACTACAAACATAAGCAACATACACCACAATACTGCATCATTAAATATGAAGATCGAGACAAAAGCTGACACACTTCGTCTTCTATTGAAATCGTGAACCGATCTAATTCAGTTGGATATCAAAAACCTGGAAGCACTGATTAGCCGTTTCGTCCTAGTATGGGACCCGTCAGTCGTGCACATCTACGAACCCAAAATCATCGGCACGGTACGTTAACGTCTAATCTTCAGACAACTGAGTTGACATCCAATGTTTTACAAATATAATTTCAATCAATCCACAATACTGCGCGACCGGTTTATTTGATATATATATATATATATATATATATATATATATATATATATATATATATATATATATATATATATATATATATATATATATATATATATATATATATATTCGTATACCGCGTGCGGGATCGTGGATGTCCACTACTGAGGAGATAGGAACTCACTGATGACAATGGTGTACGGTGGTGCAACTTCGTGGATTAGTTGAAGTTAGACATTAACACTGTTGGATACAAGCTGGCTCAGTGGTCTAGGTGGTTCAGTGCCTGGCGCGAGACTGATAAGCCCTGGATTCGAATCTCGCGGGGTGCGGGTCGGTGGATGTGCAATGCTGAGGAGTCCAATACTAGAACGAAACGGCCGTCCAGTGCTTCCAGTTTTTCCATGGTTGTCTAGCTTCAATTGACTCATAATTTCAAGGAGTGAAATTTCTAAAATCTCCACAAAACCCATCCTGATAGTAATTTAATAGTTGAATTTTCTAAGTTAATTAAAGCTAGGCCACCATGAAAAACTTGAAAGTAGTGGACAGTCATCTCGTCCCAGTACAGGACTCCTCAACAGTGTTTATCCACGATCCTGCCCACGAGATTCGAACCCCGGACCTATTGGTCTTATCTGTAAAAGCTTAAGCTCTAGAACACTAAGCTGATATTTAACGATGTTAATGTAAAACTTCAACTTATGCATGAAATTACGCGTGAGACCGAAAGTTCTGGGTTGGAATCCCACGAGCGGGATCATGGATGCGCACTGCTGAGGAGTCCCATACTAGGACGAAATGGTCATCCAGTGCTTCCAGGTTTTTAATGGTGGTCTAACATCAATCGACTCATGATCTCAATCAAAAACTTAACAATCTCCACAAGCTCATACTGATATGTATAAGAATTAACATTTTCACCATAGTGGTATAAACTTTTTCGCTTATCAATCAGATATTTTTCCACTTTACATTCACTTTTTCACTACTCACATAGGAACATTATTAATATAAATAACTCTTGAATGTAATTTTATAGTTTATGTGAAAGGGTTTGTATATCCATAGTTTTATGATTATATTTACATTTTTTTTGTTTGTTTCAGGGGAACATTTAGATGAAATTCGTGAAATTGAATTTGTACACAATATGAGAGAAATGATCAATGGTGAATATCGTCATGAAATTGATCAATTTGGATGGACATTTTTTAAAGCTATAGAAATTGATAATAGCGGTTTTATATCACAAGCATCATATCGTATATTACAAGAAGCATGGCATGTTGGACGAGATGAAGCTGAAGGAATGTTTAAAGTAAGTTTAAATTCAGAAGTAAATATTATAATTAGAGAGGAGCTTCGTGGATATTATAGTACAGTTAGTAGATGAATTCACGAATCAATTGAAGCTAGATCATCATGTAAAACATGAAAGCATTGGAAAACCGTTTCGTCCTAGTATGGAACCCCTCAGGAGTGCGTATCCACGATACCGCATCGCGAGACTCGAACCCAGGACTTAATATCTACACTACTGAGCCGGCCGGCATTGTAACGGTATTAATGTACAACTTCAACTAATCCACGAAATTGAGCCACCACCCACCATTGTCTTCAGTGAGTTGCTATTTTACAACAGACTCCATTGAACTATAATGGTCATGATTTCTCACTAGAACTCCAGGAAATACTTATTGGAGACTGTCACTAATGAGCATATGATGATTATAGTCAGAGAGGGGTTTTGTGGATATAATAGTAATTTAATAGTTGAATTCATGGATCGATTGAAGCTAGATTATCATGGAAAACCTGAAAGAGCGATAGGTCTCGGGTTCGAATCCAGAGGGCGGGATCGTGGGTGGGCAGTGTTGTGGAATCCCATACTAGGACGAAATGGCCGTCCAGTGCTTCGACGTTTTTCATGATGGTCTAGCTTCAATTGACTTTTGAATTCAAATAGATATTGGTTAATCAAAATTTTTGAGATCTTTTTTGAATACCATATAACAATTAAAATCAGTAGACATAACTTAAAGTAGTACGTGTTCAACAACTCGGTATAAATATGTTGATAACAGTGTAGTGAACTGACGATCTATCAACTAGTCAAGAAGCGCTACCTAGTTACGAAACAATTATCAACATAAAGTAATATCAACAGTTGAGATCATGAGTCAGTTGGAGCTAGACCACCATGGAAAACCTGGAAACACTGGACGGCCGTTTCGTCCTATTGTGGGACTCCTCAGCAGGGCGCATCCACGACCCCGCCTCACCGGATTTGAACCCGAGAACCTATCAGTCTACTAAAAAGTAATACGATAATATTGGAATAATAGATTTGATCTAAATCATCAACCTTATATGTTAAATTATTTTTTTGCAATAGAAGAAAAACATTAAGTTATGCATATTAGAAGTCGTGCTAGTGTTGTGAGTTAGGGTTATCACCCAATAAAGTTATTGTCAACAATTGATATCAGTTATGCAAAATGGTTAAGTATTAAGTGTTAAGCTGGACTTTTGAGATGGGTTTAAAAATAAGGGTTAGAGTATTCATTACGAACTGACATCATCTATGATGCAATACACTGTCACCTTTACCTTCACAAAACTTGGGGTTGGAATGTAAGGTGAGGACTAGAGTAGGAGAATACTTTCTAGCTTCACGAAGCACTTTTGACTATGCATTAAATCATATTAAGAAATTGAAAATAATTTGCACCAGCAGCAGGGATGTTTTTGTAGTTTAGCTAAAGCATCATATTAAATTCATTTTTTAGTTAGATAGTAGATAATTTTGTTGATTTCAAGCATTTTAAAGACCAAATATTGCCAATATTTACGTCCAGTCGTAGTTATCGTTATCTCAGGGAGAGTTAGGGCATACAACCACCTCTCTTTATTGTTCCATTCAAGTACTGGGGCTAATCAGGGTTGCGCAAACACACATGTACTTAATGACGGTGTGAATCTGTTGCCCGGAGAAAAACTAGAGTATGCGGATGATGTTGTCTTACTGTTTGATGGTATCCATGCCATGAAATCCCCACTTAATGAGTTGGTAGTCAGTGTCCGTAGGTATGGTATGTGATTTGCAAAGTACTTATACAAGATTGACAGGCTCCTGAACCTGTACTCACTCTGGGTAGTGAACGGATAGATGTAGTTCATAAGTTCATGTATCTGGGTAACTGAGTAAGTGCTAGTGGTGGCGTGAGTGATGAGATTGATTAATGTATAGTGAAAGCAAGAGCGGATTATACCATTCTTGGTTATCTTAGGCGCCTTCGTGTTGTTAGTTTGGCTGAAAAGGTCGGATCTATAGCGAGTCGGTGAAGGCAGTTTTACTCTATGCTTGTGAAACCTAAACTCTCCGAGTTGAACATGTTAGACGACTCCCTGTGTTTAATCATCGTTGTCTCCCAAGGATTATTGACATCCAGTGACAATATCATGTTAGTAATGCAGAGGTTCAGCATCGTGTGTTCGGGTGCAGAGATGATAATCCAATTGGTGACACTATCTTGAAACATCGACTTCATTGGATTGGACATGTTCTACGAATGTCATCGCAGAGAATTCCACATCGTGCATTATTTGTCGACGCTGGGACTGGTTGGAAAAATGGGAGAGGTGATTAGTGTATGACATGGTGTCGTGTTATGAAATAAAGCTGAACAGGATTGGCTTCAGTTGGTCCTTCACGACTCCCTGATTGTGTTTTCTAGAGATGATGCAACACAGTGGCTAGAGACTTTATCAGAGATGGTTCAGAATAGGAGACAGTGACAATCCTCCTGTAAATCCTCATAAGTGCTCATCCACAATCTCACTTGCGGGATTCGAACCCAGGACCTTCGGTCTTTCGCATGAAGCCTTATCCTGGACACCACTGAGCCAACCAGCATTCCATGGTGTTAATGTCTAACCTTAACCAATCCACGAAATCCCCCCACCGTCCACCATTGTCTTCAGTGAGTTACTATCTCCCAACAGACACAGATGAAGTGATAGGTCCTGGGTTCGAATCACGAGGGCGGGGTCATGGATGCACACTGCTAAGAAGTCCCATACTAAGACGAAACGGCCGTTCAGTAATTCCGGGATTTCCATGGTGGGCTAGCTTTAATTGACTCATGAATTCAACTATTAAAATTAAATGAATTATCATGTTACACTTTAATGACCACACAACGAAGTCAGTTTACTCTTGGCAGTTTATCCTTATTCAGTTACTGTTCGATTCCATTTTATAATCCTTAAAAAGATGATTAATGGATTATAACTATGCTAGATCACTCTTTCTAATCCTAAAGGATAATGTCCTGTTCACGGAATGCAAAATCATCACCGAGAAAAGATGAAACGTAAAATGATGATTATTCAGCTAAAGATCTTAACTTCTAACAGATTTCAAGGATGTATCGAACAAGTAAAATAAAGATGAAATGAGCGTATTGCTCCAGATGAAATTATTTTAACATTCGAAACACACATTTGTTACTGTACTGAAGTATAAAATATACATAGGAAAACTAATGATACTTGGGTAATGTTCACATTCATAGTAACAATTAGAAAGTGAAGTATATTAATTTAGTTTCTATCTTAAAAGTGACCATTTCACTTAATGAATACATGTACCCTAAAACTCATTTCAAAATTATCAAAGTTTATCAATCATAAGTAAACTAGTTTATTGGTTATTTGCAATATTATTGACATGATCTTAATCGACTAAGAGAAGAAATAAACAATTTCGAGGGATGAACGAATAATATCAACGTTATATTTATTATTCTATTTTTATCTTCTACGAAAGCCGGCTGGTCCCGTACATTTGCCCCCAAATGCCCTGGTACGGCCTCGAGTGGAGAGAGTTAGATCTCTTTCGCTCTCTTGAAATACTCTCACATGGCCGCATACATAAAATCACTGATAGGGAATTCATGGTCAGTGACTTATCGCGGTGTGGGTGTTGTTTACGAAGTTGAAAGGACGAAAAGCGAATGTCCGGTGCTTCAACCGTGTTGGTGGATATGGAGGATCCAACTACTGGAGTTGGGGAAACCTCATTTCAAACCAATAGTGTACATGAGCTCCAGGATCCTGAAAGACCAAATGGCATATGAACCATTTATTTGTCATCGTCTACCTGGGGACTGCGTCAACTGACGTTGTTCCACTGCATTGTGGACTAGACCTCTAGGTGAAATGCTCGGGGAGTTCCCCTCTAAGAAAACCACTTGCTTCGGTTTGGGAGTTACGGCAATATCACAGCCCACATACAAATCAAGTAATTTATGCGGTGTATATGTGTTCGGTTCCCCTTTGTACTAATATTTATATATTCAAAAAAATCAACAATAAAATACATAAATGCCGTCTTCAACTTGTTGTTGTCTAAGAATTCCAGCTAGTTGAAGTCAGTCTCGTAACATACCGCTATTATGCACATATTGTTTAGACTCATGAATGCGGTTCTATTGACTGACAGGATTTAATCCACATCAAGTAAATTGGTCGAACATGCTACAAATCACTAATTTACAATCAATCAATATAAATACTTTCAACCTACAGGAGGTCAGAACCTTCTCAAACACTTCTGTAATATGATTGAGATCATTAACCGATTGATTTCAGACCACCGTTGGAAACCTGAAAGCACTGAACGGCCGTTTCGTTCTATTGTAGTACTCCTCAGCAGTGTGCATCCACGATCCCACCTCGCGGGATTCAAACCTACGGCCTCCAGTCTCGCTCACGAACGCTTAACCTACTGGACAACTCAGCAGGCATTGAATGGTGTTAGTGTCTAACATCAACCAATCCACGAAATTGCACGACTATCTTCCATTGTACTGAGATTGATAACTATCTCTACCCGACACGAATTAGCTTCACTGGTCACGACCGTTCACTGCTTCCAGGTTTCTAACGGTGGTCTAACATCAATCGGTTCATGATCTCGATCAAAAAACTTAATAATCTCCACAATCCCTATACATATGTAATACTTTCACTTACTGTGATATTGAGTAACACATGAATAAACCACATAAAATACATCAATCTCTTGAATAAATTCATATTATCCTACTTCGAATCCTGAAGTGAATTGGAAAAGAGAAAAGCCAAAGAACACTTTATGTCACAAAATAGAATCCAATATGAAAAGAATGAATAACAACTGTAAAGAATTGGATAAGATTGCTCAGGACAGGGTTGGATGGACAATGCTGCTTGACAGCATATTCTCCTCCACCAGGAGTAACAGGCGTAAACAAGTATCTAAGTAAGTAAGGAAGTATTTTATCTTGATAAAATGTCCAATATTTTCTCATTGTATCATCTTTTTCTCCTTTTCTTTTTTTCTCTCTCTTTTTCATTATCCACAATGATAGATATTGGATAGTGATAAAGATGGTAAAATTAGTAGTGATGAATTTCTTACAGCATGGAATGAATTTTTTCTTAGTGAAGATCCACATAGTCCATATAGAATGTTTTTTGGTCCAGTTATATCACGTCCTACAGAAGCTAGATAAATAATCAATCAATCAATCAATCAATCAATCAATTTAATCAATTAATCAATTTAATCAATAATCAATATTATCATATAAAATATTATAGAATGATTTATTCGATTACATAATTATATTCTCTCAAATATTGATTGCTTTGTTATTGTTGTTGTTTGTTTTTTTCTTTTTTCTTTTTCTTTTCTTTGAACTATCTATAAATCAATAATAGTTGTTTAAAATATATATATATATATACATAGAGAGACAGAGAGAGGGAGGAGGGGGGAGAGAGCAGAGCTCATTCATTATTCTTGGTCTTTATCTTCAATGGTTAGAGTACTCATACATTTGGAATAATGGAATATATTTAGACAAGCAATTATAAACGATATTGCCTAGTAACAAGTTCATCATCTTTCTATATATTCAATGGATTATCATTTGTTTTTTTTGTTTTTTTTTAAAAAAATGTAGCGCACAAATTTGAATTTTGAATGTTTCCCTCTTTTTTCCATGTTTGTTTTAATTCATTCTATTAAAAGCTTATTTATTGAATAATGATATATATATATATATTTTAAAGAGAAAATTCAAACAAACAAACAAATAATTAATTAATTAGTAATTTGATGCATGCATTCATTCTATGAGTAATGAAGTAAAACAATTAAATAATTAAACTATAATTATATATAAATATATTTATTTTAAAAAGTAAACAATAACTTATATTTCAATGGTTAAGATCATGAGTCAATTGAAGCTAGACCACCATGGAAAAACCTGGAAGCACTGGACGGCCGTTTCGTTCTAGTACGGGACTCCTCAGCAGTGCTCATCCACGACCTCGCCCCCCGGTGAGATCCGAACCCAGGACATTAACACCGTTGGATGCCTGCTCAGTGGTCTAGTGGTTAAGTGCTCACGCACGAAACCAGTAGGTCCTGGGTTCGAATCTCGCGGGGGGGGGCGAGGTCGTGAATACCCAGTGCTGAGGAGTCCCACAATAGGACGAAACGGCTGTCCAGTGCTTCCAGGTTTCCCATGGTGGTCTAGCTTCAACTGACTCATGATCTTAACCATTGAAATTACTACAATCTCCATAAAACCCATCTGATATTAATAACTTATATTAATTTAATTGTTGAATTCATGTGTTGATTGAAGTAAGATCACTATGGAAAACATGGAAGCACTGGATGACGGTTTCATATTAGTATGGATCTCAGAAGTGCACATCTACAACCTGAACTTAGGAGATCCGGTCTCTTGAGTGAATACTTGACCTCTAAACTACTGAGCTGGCCGGTATTGTAACGGTTATGATGTATAACTTCAATTAATCCACGAAATTGATCCACCGTTCACTATTGTCTTCAGTAAGTTACTATCGCACAACAAACACGGTTGAACTCTACTGATCATGATTTCTCACTATGTTGGGGACGTTAGATCCCCAAAACTCATATTTTGTAATTTTTTCTTTGTGGAGCTTGTATACAGATGTATGCTTGGGCATTTCTTACCACCCACGCATATAGTCGATTGACAGACTTATTGATTAAATGTTTAAAAACTTTCATGGCAATATCGATTATATATATTTTGTATAAATATGCTTGATTTGTGTGCTTGATGAACCTGGTATCTTCTGGTTGTCTGTAGAATACACTTTTAACATCTTACCAAGACTTCTGGATTAAGTTAGCTGAGTCGGGGACAACGGATTAGTATAGCCTATCGAGTCTCTGAATCCTTAATTCTTCGTTCCTTTCCGAGTAAGGCGAATCAGTAGTAGCATTCAAGTTAACGAACATAACACACTAGAACTCCAAGAAATACTTATTGGAGACTGTCACTAATGAACATATGATGATTATAATTAGAGAGGGGTTTTGTGGATATAATAGTAATTTAATAGTTGAATTCATGGGTAAATTGAAGCTAGATCATCATCGAAGCATTGAATGGCCGTTTCGTCCTAGTATGAGACTTCTCAACAGTGTGCATGCACGATCCCGTCTCACAAGATTCGAACTCGGGACCTATCGGCCTCATGCGCGAACGCCTAACCTCTAGACCGCTGATCCGTTATCCATAATAATAATAATTATTATTACCATTATCACTTTGTTTGTTTGTGTGTGTGTGTGTGGAAGAGAGAGAGTTAATGGTTTTTTTGCATTGACATATATATCTGAAGTATTTCCTGTATACTATATCCTTTGTTATGTCAGTAAATTTGTAATGTGTAGAGGTTAGTATCCTCTATGTCTGACTCCAACAAATAGTATCTCGTTAACTGTGTATTTAATACAGGCTAAATCTCCTAGTAGAATTATAGATTTACTCCAGATTATTCAAAAGACTGAACACCATTTATAGAGATAGTTTATCGCTAGAGATTGGTAAAATCCGCAAGCGTACACGAAGCAAGCACACAGGGAAACCAAGAGTGTATGTATGTGTGTGAGTGTTAAAAATCCATATATATTTTCTGAGTGTTAATGAAATATGGATAAATTATTGATTGACTGTGTATTACAATCAATGGGAGAATAGATTACATGGTGGATCAAGTGTCTAAATTACAGTGAGCGGATAAATAATACAGTAGTGGAATGGGCTTACTACAAATGTATTGGATTGATTATGTAATCCATAGGTGTGTTATAGGTTACAATTTAGTGAATAATAAATGAGATTCTAATTTATGGATAAACTTTGAGTGGAGCCTAAGTGCCTCTGAGAAAATTCACCTACTACCTAGGGTCTAAAGAGGGTTATAAATTCTTGTGCGGAATCAAAATTACAAGTCATAAGTTAGGGTTAGTAATTAGAGTTAGTGTTGTCATCACAAACTGACATCAGACATAATGCAAACATTCTACTTAGCCATATGAATCAATTGATTTCGCGCCGAAATACAAAGCTGATTCATAGATCATCGTCTTGCCGAACAATGTTTAGTCCTAGTGCGGTGTGTGTTGCTGATGTCGACAGATATAAGTTGTATGTATCATCAATTGAAGATGAAATACCTGGAGGCAGAAGGTTAAGAAGATTGAAGAGAAGAGAACGAGAACAGACAGTTATTGGTATGGAAATGAAGGAAAATCGAAGCAGCACCCACAGACCTTTCAATAGATGTCACTCCACCAACGACGGAAGAAATCAGGATGGCCGTCAGACAAATCAAGAGCGGGGAAACAGCAGGACCTGACAACATACTAGGCGAAGCATTGGCTTCAGACATAGAAGCAACTTCAATCATGCTTCACACTCTATTCAAGAAGATTTGGGAGGAAGAATAAGTGCAGCATTCCTCCAATCGAAGAACATATGCAACTCAAAACAATTGTCTCTCAACCAATATCAATGTCACGGTTTTCAATATGAACGTAAAAAAACAGTTTTACTGTATGGTACTAAAACTCGGAGAATCAATACAACTATCATCAAAACAGTATAAGTATTCATCAACAGTTGTGTACGCGAAATACTCTAGAAACGTTGGTAGGATACCATCAGCAACAGCCTATTGTGGGAGAGGAAAAACCAACTTCTAGCTGAAAAGGAGACCAGGAAAAGACGTTGTAGATGAATAGGATACATCGTGAAAATCATCAAACTGCAACACGGGGTAAGCAGTGACTTGAAGTGTTCAAATCAAGGGAAAAGAAGAAGATCAAGGAAAAGATTGCGTCGGGAATCGGAGGGAGACATCGAAATGATAAATAGCAATTAGAAAAAGGTGGAAAGGAGAGTAGGTGTGAGAATCTTGGTGGGCGACCTATGCTTCCCGACAGGGGACAATATGTTTAAATAAGTAAGTTACTGAACATCTTATTGATACGAGATTGAAGTCTAAATGACTAGAAATTAATTGGGAATTCATCGCGATTATTCAAAGATCATCGTGCCTACAAACTTACTTACGCTTGTTACCCTTCATTAAGGAGTATAGGCCGACCACCGGCACTCTCCACTCAAATCCTATCCTGGGGAATCTTTTCCAGTTCTTTCCACTTCTTATTCATCCTTTTCATATCTGCTTGCAATTCCAAACGTAGTGTGTTCTTTGGCCTACCGCTTTTCCGTTTTCCTTTAGGATCTCAAGTTAGCAGCTGCCTTGTGATGCAGTTTCACAATTTCCGCAATGTGTGTCCTATCCCCTTCCAATATCTTTTCCTGATTTCCTCCTCAGCTCGAAGCTGGTTTATCTTCGCTCATAGTAGGTAGTTGCTAATGTCATCCGACCAAAAGGTATTGAGTATCTTACGTAGAAAATTGTTTACAAATACTTGTACCTTCTAAATGATGGTTGTTGTAGTTCTCCAAGTTTCAGCTCCGTACAGTAGAATTGTCTTGACGTTCGTATTGAAGATTGTGACAGACAGTTGTTTTGAGTTGAATATGTTATTCAACTGTAGGAATTCTGCACTTAATTTGCCAATCTATACCTTCACATCTGTATCAGATCCTCCTTATTCATCGATGATGCTATCCACGTACGTGAAACTTTCCAACTCTTCTAGAGTTTCTCCATCAAATGTGATTATAATTACAAACTACCTTTATCAAAAAGCTGTACAAATTTCATAACTATCATAGAATAAAAGTCCTTTGTTTTAAATAATCTACAATCTCATTGGCTCGTAGAAACATCAAGGTTACTTTTCACATTGATCAGTGACTGAGGGTTTTAAAATAAGCATTAACCTTAATATCTATCACATAGTAACCAAGTTAAAATGATTCTTATTTGTTTTAATTATTTGACATTTAGTAACTAACATATTTTCCTAAAACTATTTCATTCATTAATGGTTAGTAAACTTTGTATTGAATAACAATTCACTTGGATAATATGGAATAATGAAAGAGATATATTCAACAAACAAAATATCGGTTCGACTGATATTAATAATTGAAATTGATAGAGCCTTCATCATACAAACCAGTTTCGTGAAGGAATTCTCGGAGTTCTAATGAGAAGCTGTGACGAGTGGAGCTAATCTATGTCGAGTAAAGATGTAATCACAAT